AGAGTCAGAGGCTCAACTGACTGCACCACCCAGGCGCCTCCCACCCCAATATGTAATTTTAAGGAGGCCGTGGAATACATTTTAGGGGAGAGATTGAGGGGACATCAAGAAGCTGCCTGAATGTCTCCAAAGCCCGTCTAAGTGAGTAAAATATCCAATCTGTTTCTAAAGAGCATTTTCCTTCTTAGATTTAGGTGGTTGCTTCCAGGGGTCCCTGAGTCCCTTGAGAAAGCCTGATGGAGACAGGGAGCTAAATATTCAAGGGCCCAAAGGGCTGGCATGGGCAGGCAGAGGGAGGCAGGAGGCAGGGGTTTGAAAGGGTCATATCAGGGGATACAAGGGAACTGAAAGGTAGATCAAAGAAGGTAGGTGGGGACATGGGAAGGGAGAAGTCTTAGAGGAAGCAGTGAAGTTCCAAATTCAGCAGAGGGTCGGGAAGGGGTGGGGAGCATCAGTCAACTAAGAAGTTTCCTTGGAAGAAGCAGGATCAAATAGAATAGAGAGGTTTCCCAAAGAGCCAGGAAAAATATTCCAGCCTCAGGAGTCAGGGAGTGAATCCCTACTCAAAAGAAAGGGCCAGGAAGAAAGACTTCCAGCGCAGCAGGTATCTGTCCAACAAAGTAGCCTGTAACTCTCATCCAGCTTCACAGAGTGTACTCAGAACCTTAAGAACCAAAACCTATCCTTGCTGTGCTTCAGTGGACATTTACCCAGAGCCCTGGCTCAGGAGTCGGGCTCACAATGGATCCCCGATCAATCAGTCAGGACTGAAGACAAAGGCCTCAGGATGCCCACTCAGGGTCCTGGGTGACATGGCCAGGAGTCCGATGACCATGAATCTGATCTCACACGAGTCATGACACCACAACTGTTAAAAAACCAGAGCTGGACAGTCATTTCAATGGTAAAAACGAATTTTATTCAAGAACGATCACAACAAGGGCCCATATGGACCTGGGCTCTCCATTTTGAATACAACAATTACGAATCCTCCCTTTTCTTAGGTGGGGGTGTATAGCCAAGGACCAGGGAGAGAGGCTGCTGGATGGAAGATCGCTAAGAGGGTTGGATGATTCTTTTTTTTTTTTTTTTCTTAAAGATTTTATTTGACAGAGAGAGAGAGAGACAGCGAGAGAGGGAACACAAGCAGGGGGAGTGGGAGAGTGAGAAGCAGGCTTCCCGCAGAGTAGGGAGCCCGATGCGGGGCTCGTTCCCAGGACCCCGGGATCATGACCCGAGCCGAAGGCAGACACTTAACGACTGAGCCACCCAGGTGCCCCGAGGGTTGGATGATTCTTACTACACTGACCTAACAGGATTCTTGGGGAAAGCAGGCCTGAGTGATCAGGAACCACCTGGGAAACGGTGGAGGGTAAGGAATTTGATCAGATATTGAGGGTGGGATGGGATTCTTGCTAAAATGGGGCAGATGGATACAGAAACAACCCTGAGGTCAAGGCCTGGTTGAGAAAGGTCTCAAAGAAGCTTAACTAAAGTGGGGTCAAGGACAGTCTTTGTTGAGGGCAGCGCCGGACCAGCCCAAGGCTAGTGTGGTCCCTTCCTTAAGCCTTAGCCTAAAAGACCTAATTTGGAAGGAGTCCTGAGGAAGGAGAGACCACCTCCCCCCTCCCCAGACTACAGAAGCAAGGGGCCTCTTCCTCAAAACTTGTGACCCCCTCACCTCTCTCCTCCACCTCCAAGGACCTCAAACATGCCATCTCAGCTCCACCCCTTATCCCCTTGGGGGCCCTTCTGGGACTGCCGAGGACATACTTGGAGCTTCAATCTCCATGCTCTCCATGCTCCCCATGACACTGCTTGGCACCATATGGCAAGGTTATCACATGTCTCCCCCCGCACCCCATATATGGGCTTCCTCAGGCAGAGTCTGTGTCTGATCAAAGGTATCACCCCCGGTCCATAGATGACCATCAGTATAGGTCCATTGGAATGAATGAACTAATGGACGATCTCGTCCAGGGGCTTTCAAGCTTTGAAAAAAGTTACTGAAGAATGTCTTTTTCTTCTTACAGTAGTTCGTGTGAATGCTCAGTATATAATATAGGAAAAGCAGAGCTGCTCAATTGAAGATTGAGGTGGGGAGAGCAGAGCCGCAAAGATCATTCCAGATGTGCCCAGGAAAACACAGGGCTTTGGGGAATGCCTGAAACAGCTTCTCTGGTCCCTCTGCACATGGGGAAACTGATCACAACAGGGAAGGGAAGGGACTTAAATCAAAGAAGGGGCCAGGGCGAGGACCAGGACTTGGTGCCCTGCTGGATTTTCAGTCGCTGACCCCACTGTCCCCAGCTGCCCAGGTCATCATTAAGAAGGTGCAAGGAAGGTGCTCAGTCAATTAAGTGTCCGACTCTTGGTTTCAGCTCAGGTCATGATCTCAGGGTCGTGAGATGGAGCCCCGAGTTGGGCTCTACACTCGGCTTGGAGTCTGTTTATCTCTCTCTCTGTTCCTCCCCCACCCCACTCTCTCTCTAATAAATAAATAAATAAATAAATAAATAAATAAATACATAAATACATAAATAAAATAAATCTTTAAAAAAAGTCGGATCCCGAGGAGTCAGACCCAGCCCCATCACTGACAACCTGAGTGACTCTGGACAAGTTACTTTCCCTCTCTGGGCCTCAGATGTTCAACAGCAAAGGACAGGGTGGAGATTGACGCCAGAAAGCCCCCAGCCCAACAGTTATCCTTGTCCAGCCCTTGGCACGCACCAGCCTTCCTGACACTCGCCTCTCTGCTGGAGCAGGCCACTTCATCCAGGCCCCGGGGCAGGAAGGGGACAGGCCAGGCCAGCTGCTGGGGGTCAGAGAACCTGCTTTCCCCAGAGCCGTGGACCCTGGAGGGAGGCTCTGTGCCCTCCCCTGATGCCCGGACAGTGAGTACCATGCCAAGGAGGACCAGCAGTGGGGAGCCAAGGCAGGAGACCTTTATTAGATTGAGGAAGGGGTGCTGAGTCCTATGGAGTGTCTCTGGGGTGCAGCATCCTGGACAGGCCGGGGCAACGCGGGGGGTGGGACAGGCAAGGCTTGGCAGCAGAATCTCGTCCCAACACACGGGCCCAGACTCTCTGGAGTGGAGGTTTGTGCAAGCTAGAGGGGCGCAGCCAGAACCCTGGGCTCCCACGGGTGAGGGGCGGAGGCTTCTGCAGACCCCACCTCCAGTGGGGACTCTGGGTGCCCCATCCTGACTCCACCCCTGGCTTGGTGGGGGCTTTGGCTCAGAGATAATAGGCCCGCCCAAGATGGCCAGGAGAGGGTAGTTCGTTAGCTGGAAGATGTCAGTGATGAGGCTCACAGGGGACCACAGCCGCCAGGCCACGCCGGTCAGTGGGAGGTGAGCGATGGAAGGGTCTCCTCCCACGCATAGTGACAGCCGACACCAACCAACAGCTTCATCCTCAGTCCCCAAGCCTGGTGTTCTAGAAGCTGCAGCTGGGCAAGGCTTCTGCCCAGTCCTGCTATTTGGGAGGTAGACATTCTCTTCCCACCCCCATGCCTCTCTAGCCTCTGGCTTTCTTGACCATCCCTGGGGACAGTGGTCTACAGGGTCCTGGCAGGGCGGGCCTAGCTCCTGGTGGCCGTTCTCAGTGTCCAGGTGGGTCACAGCACTATGCCAGTGGGTCCTCGGGGTGATGCAGGGCATGCTGGCTTCTTGGAGGCCGCTGAGCTTGAGGTCAAGAGGTGAGGCAGGTGGGACAGGGGAGGGCGCACCTGGAGAAACAGCAGAGCTGGTGCAGGGTCAAGAAAGCTGGCCCCGCGGAGGCTGACCCTCCTCCACCTCTGCCCACAAGCCCCCGGCCAAATGGGAACCTGGGCCCAAGGGGGCCCTGCGCCCCAGGTTCCTTTAGCCCGCTTCTCCTGCCCAGACCACTCTGGTCTGGACGCCTCACCTTGTCCCACATCTCTCCCACCTTCTCCCCTCCCTTCCGTCAGCATGTTGCTCCCCGCCCACTGCCTTCCTGAATCTTCCCCACAGCCTCCTACCTGGACCTGGTCGGTCCCTCCTGCCTTTGTTTCCCCCTTCATGGAGGTGGGTCCCAGCCCTCGGCCTCCTCCCCATTGAGAGGGCTTCTGACCCCAGGGTGCAACCTCGCCTCTCCCTGCCAGGGAGAGAGGGGTCTGGGGTCTTTCTACCCACTGGCATAGCTGCTGCGGGGGGGGGGGGGAAACGGCCCTGTCCCCTCCACGTCTGTCAGGGTCCCAGGAGCCTGGGTTTGGGTGCTCCTCAGAGCCGTGCAGTATTGCAGGGCCAGCTCAGCAGGGAGGCGGGGGAAGACCTGTGAGTGTTGGGGGACATATTTGTGCCCCCGTCTTGGTCACCCTGCACCGAGGGGAGTGCCGCTGAGGATGTGGGTTCTGTCAGTGCCCTGGAGACTGCCCTGAGGCCAGAGTTAGGGGCTGAGAAGCTAAGTACTGTGGCCATCCTGTGAAGTCTGGGCCTGGACTCTGGGCCACCCACCCACCCTGGGGCTCTAGAGAGAAAGCAAGGATCAGCCTGGTCATTGCCTAGGAGCAGCCAAGAAGCCCCAGAGCCCAGGCCTTGGGACCAGCACGCTGTCAGTCTGGGAACCTGTCTGAGGACACACCAAGCTCTGGGGCTGTGACCACAGCTCAGGATCTTGGTCTCTAAGGCCCCAGGGTCCAACCTTGAGGGTCAGGCTGAGGAAGTCAGGCGGGGGCCAGGGGCAGGGGCCCCACTCAGAGGACTCCCACCTCTTCTCTCTCAGGCCTTGCCTTCCACACTCAGGAGAGGCCCCTGCCAAGTCGAGGACCCGGGCAGCGGGACACGGCCACGCTCGGGGTTGGGCTGGATGAGCCTGGGGGCCACAGTCAGGACCCAGGCCTTCCCGAGTCCTCTGGAGCCCATCTCATGGGGAGTGGGGGGGGGGGCTCCAGGGAGGAAGCAGCCAGGCAGTCCCCTGGGTTCCCGGTCTCGTCCCCACCTCCCCCTGCTCCATCTTTCTGGTCCCCAGAGGGCACTAGGGAGGTGTAGGGGGAGCGGGGGAGAAGTGTCTGCGGGCCACCTCCCCCGGGGGGGGCTCATAGATGCTGCAGTTGGGCATGGGACCCTGACAGTAGATGTTGAGATAGTTTCGATGCTTCTCGTTGTACGTCTGGTTCCGGAGACACAGAACCACGCTCTTGTCACATTCGCATGTCTGCTTATCACACTCCGTCTCGTTGAGCTCACCTGTGCAGAGCAGAGGTTCTAGTGAGCCTTGGAAGGTGGTCCCGTGGGAGGCGGCAGCAGAGCATCCCTGATGGGTCACCCCAGGCCCACGGCTCAGAAGCCCTGGGGTGGGCCCAGTCATCTGTGTCCACTGCCCTCCTGGTGGCTCTGGGCACACTTAAATCAGAGAAGCCCTGAAGTCCAATGTGCCACTTTATAGTTGGGGAAACTGAGGCTCAGAAAGGGGTTTACCTAAGTCACCCAGCCAACCCAAGGCAGAGCTGGGACAGACACTCGGGTGTCAGGAACTCCCCACCCCGGGGCCTCCTCTCTTCCATCACAGAATCACAGAACCCCCTTCCCCCCACTCCACCGGAGGGAGCTGGTGATAAGGAGGCGCTGAGGAAGGGCTCCTAAAGAGCTTGGCGCAGGGCGTCCCATGAGCAAATGCTTAAGTCCTAGTCACTGCTGCCACTGTTACTCCTGCTACTATTCTGAGCCTCCAGAAATCATCCACCCTGACCGTTCTTAACCTTAGGGGTGCGCTAGGGTCCACCGGGGGTTTGTTGAGACAGAGACTGCTGGGCTCCAGGCCCACAGCTTCAGATTCAGTAGGTCTGGGTGGGGCCTGGTAATCTGCATTTCTAGTAAGTTCCTAGGTGATGGTGATGTTGCTGGTTCGGGGAACACCCTTTGAGAACCCCTCACTGGCTCAGTGGTTTGCAAACTTCTCAAACTTTCCATCAGCAGAATCCTTGCTCTTAAATGAGACTCTTTGCAGGAGGCTAACTTATCAAATGGCCAAAAGAGAAGCCCTTAAGCTATCAAATGGGTTAACAGGGCCAACTGGACCACTCAGGGACCCCCCTATCCCTGACCCCCATGACCACAGGAATCCCCAGAAACCAATGTGAAAACCATGGCTTGGGTTAATCCACCGCCCTTTGGGGATCCTTGAAATGCTTTAATGAGGGGACATCCCCTCTCCCAAGCCAGCCCCTTCACTCCACGTTTGAACAACAGCGTATGAGAACCTCAGTGCCCTGGGCTCCCAAGGGGCCCCAGACGTGCCCAGTTCCCCACCAGACTCTTCCCCAGAGAAAAGGAGACTTAGGGTTTCTTTGCAAAGCTGGGCTTGCTTGTGAGCTTTTAGTGAGGAATAGTGAGCAAGAACCTGGTTAAGACAAGGAGACAAAGGGAGCCCGGGGCTGCCCATGGGACCGGGCCAGGAGGCATCTGCTACCTAAGGGGAGGCAAGGCAGGGACACTTGGGCCATTAACTTGGACGCCACATCCCTCAGTTGAGGAATGGCCTGGAGAGTTCATGGCAAGGGAGGGAACCCTGCAGGGCCTGGTTCCCACAGCTTGAATCCTGGAAACACAGAGTCCTGGGATGAGGCCACCTTCTGGCCAGGTCCCAAAGACAGAACCAGAACGGAACAGTTCTGCTCTGATCTAAACACTTCCATGGGCCCATGGAGAGACTAGGGCCAGGTAGGGAAGCACCCTGCTTAAGGTCACACAGCAGGAGATGCTGACAGAATCCAGGTTTGAACCCAGGTCGGCATGTCACAAAGTCTCAGCATCACCAGAGGAACTGGTTAAAAACAAGATTCCTGGGCCCTCACCCAGACCCACTGAATCGGAACCCTCCCTAAACCCTGCGAAGCCTAAGAATCAAGGACCAGGGAATCAGGCTGCTAATTCAGGCTTGGAGGATCAGAGCATATCAGGATGAGGACCACAGCTAGGGTTCTCAGATTTAACAAACAAAAACAAGAAGCCTGGCTAATTTGAATTTCAGACAAACAGTACATATTTTAGTCTAAGTATGTCCCAGATACTACATGGGATATACTTACACTAACTCTTAATTTTATACTACCAGTAACTGATTTTATGCTAACATTTAATTTTTAATATGAGTCTGTCCCATGCAATATTTAGGATATACTTAGGTGAAAATATTTTTCGTTGTTTATCTGAAACTCAAATTTAAGTGGGCATCCTGGACAGGGCAGGCAGGGGGACTGGCAATCTAAGCCCTTCTCCTAGATGGGGGAGGGGGAAACGGCAGGGGGAGAACTCACTGCAGACGACCGAAGTATTATTCTCGATGGCGTGTTCATAGTGGTCCACATAGGGGTGACAGCCCAGGTCAAAGAGCTTCTGGTAACAGCAATCATGGGCGTGGCAGCACCTAGGGGCAGGTAGAGGATAGCAGGCCCATGTAGGTAGGCTTGGCTGGTCTCTCACTGGCAGAGACCTCAACCATCTGTACCAGTTCCTTACAGATCAGACCTTCAGACTGAGGCCCAGAGAGGGGCAGTTACCCTCCTGAGGTCACACAGCCAGGCAGAGCCCGGCCAGTGGCCCAGTTTCTTGCCCATGATCCCTGCCTCCCTGTTCCATGTGCAGGGCTCCTGGCTTTCCCCCTGAGAGCCCTGATGCAGCTGCAGGAGGCAGGAAGCTTCAGGCTGTCCGGTGATGTGGTCAGGATGGGAAGGAGGGTCAGGGCTCAGTCACTGTTAAAGGAGCCTGCCTGACTATATGAAGGGGCCATGCCTGGCTGTGTGCAGGGGCGAGTGGGATTGGGGGGCGGGGGGTGAAGGACAGGAAGCAAATGTAGTGTGGCCACCCCCATCCCCTCTGGTGGAGGAAAGCAATTAGTCAACATGCATTTATCAAGCCTCCCCCCACCCCGGTCCCCATGATACCAGACTTGGTGCTGGCTGCTTCTGGGGAGATAGGAGCAGAAAGTAAGCTCAGCCCTCCATCAGAGCCTCCAGGGTGATGGGGGTGAGAGGGGTCACAGCCCTTGCTTTTGCTGAGGGTGAGCTGCGTGTTCGTTGCTCTCATGTGTTTTGGGGGCAGGTCAATGTTTCCTTCCTGGTGAGAGTGCGAGTTCAAATGCCTCTAAGCCCAAGACTTGGAGAAGGACAGTAGAAAGCATCCAAGACAGTTGAGGAGGACACGGGTCAAGGTCAGGCTCCCGGTCACTAACTCACTGAACCAGCCCCATCCTTTGGGGAAAGGGTCCTGTCCCATCCATCAGAGACGGAGACCAGTCTGACCCTCACTGCCCGCCCCCTTCCCAGTCCCGACACCACAGCAGCGCAAGCGCTCGGGGACCTACCAGTCCACCTCGTCCATGGGCAGCCCGTGCCCTCCCAGCCCACAGTAGCAGCCGTAACCCACGAAGGACAGGATGGCGCTCCTCCCCGTGATGGCTTCCACCATGGACTTCAGGTTAAGCAGGCTGCTGCAGGCCTCGGGCAGGACTGCAAGAGAACCAAGGGGTGCTGTGAGGCCACCCCGCACAAGGCAGGAGAGCCGCTCTAGCCCCATTTAAGGGGTTTGGGGAATCCTGCTCTACCTGAGTCTTCCTGTCTATTGGCTTGGTGATTTTTGTCATTACAGAAGATAAGGAGCAAACAAGAAAGGAAACGGGCAAGGAGCCGGGACAGGATGGTGCCGAGTGAGGTACATGTCTCAGCGGGGTCTGGGGCAGGGAGAGGCAGGACCCCACATCCCATGGGCCTGAGCCCATCCCTGAGCTGCAGGAGGGGTGTGAGGGCTGTGGGTGGGGGGGAGGGAGAAAGGGGACGCTAGCTGTCTCCCCCAGCCCTTCCCCCCGCCGTGTTGACGTCCTGCGGCTGGAGGAGGACGTGCGTGCCAAGCAGCTTGGGGGTCCGATCTGAAATTGGACCTTGGGAGTCAAGCCCAGACATCCCCGGGTTTGCAAACAGGTTTCTCCGTGAGCCCTGTGGTGCCGTGGGCAGGTTGCACAAGCGCTTTGCCATCAATTGCCAAATCTAGGGATAAAGCGGCTCTCCTGCAGGGCGCCAGGTGCCCGGGCTGGGAGGAGGGAGCACCCTCTGTGGGGTCCTGGCCTCCTGGCTCCCTGGCCTGAAGCCCCGGCCTCCCGCTGCCCACCGTCTGGCTGTGCAGGTGTTATCCTGGGGGGGAGGGGCAGACTTCCATCCGCAGGGCACCCTGACCAGCAGCTCCATACAAGGTGGGCATGATCACACGAGCACGCCACCCCTCACACGCAGGGAGACACACCCCGTCACACTCACACGGGCACCCACACCTCAGACTCCCCTCCGCGCACACGCTCCGGTGCACACTCACCCGCAAACACACATTCACCCGCACACACCTCATACACGCGGTCACGTGGTCCTGCTCAGCAAGCTCACACTCAGACACACACACAGGTCACACACCCATGCATACCCTCCTCCCACACAGCACACTCATGCGAGATGCACACTCGCACTTCCCTCTACACACCGCCTGTGTTCACAAGCACACACCCGTGATGCACTCACAGGCACCTCCCACACAGATGCACACTCTCATACACACAGTCATGCACACACTCGCCTGTGAACACCTCACACCCACAAGCACACCCGCACTCACACATACACCTCACACACTCAGCCGCACGCCGGTACACACTCCCACAGGCAGCACACACGATCCACACTCGCGCTCCCAGCAGAAGACACGCAGTCTGCGCTCGGTCAGGCTGCAGCTGTCCCCGGCCGGTGTGGGGGCAGAAAGCAAATGCTTGGTTTCTGAACAACTTGAGCAGCCAATTCAACCCCCTCTTTCTCACATCTGGCCACAGGGTTAACCTTATTTTGTTCCTGGGATCTCTTTCTTTGCCGCAAACCAGGCTGCGTTCGGGTGATATGTAACAGGCTGGGTGAGAAGTCAGTGAGGGGTTCGGGCCACCTCCCAGCTCCCCGAGACACCTGGCTGTGTGCGGGGTCAGATCTGCGTCAGGAGCCTCACTGTCCCCAGCGCGGTGCCCGGGAGCACCAGTCCCAGGAAAGGAGCCCCCGGACCCCTCCCCGCCCCGACGGCTTGTGAGCTCCCAGACACCTGCTACGCACACACCTCACGCACATCCACGTGCCCCAATTAACATACACCTACACGTTTTGCTGACGTGTGCTGAGACAGCCCTCCACACACAGAGATATACGTGCGTCCAGCCACACACAAACCTATTAGCTCTTGTCTAATGTACACATGTACACAAACACACACTCCTATCTACACAAACACCCAGGTTTTCCCGGGGCGGCCAGACGCCCTAAGCAAACACTACCGTTTTACGATGCTTGCTCAGCTCTGGGCCCTGTCGCCCTTGGAGGCTCGTAAATGCCAAGCCAAGCGCCCCCCGGTGTGTTTATGGCTGGCCGGGCGAGCAAACAGCCCCAAGGCAATGAAGGCCGCCAGGGCCTGAGCGAGGAAGTGGCAGCCCAGGGAGGCAGCTCAGGCCCCCAGCCAGTGGCTCGAGAACCTAGGTGCCCAAGGTCACAGGAGAAAGTGTGGGAGCGGGAGAGAAAGAGGAGTCCCCCAGAGCCTTTACTCACCGCTGCCGGCCAGGATGACCATGGTGAAGAACTTCATACCCAAGCTAGATCTGAGAGAGGAGAAAATCCAAGTCCTGAGTCCGTCCCTTCCGCTCTCCTGCAGCTCTGGGCCTGCAGCTCCCTCCCAGGCCCCATCAGAGGCCCATCAATGCTGCCCCTTCAGGCATCTGTTCCTGCTTCCCCAGGCTCTGTGAGGAGAACCTCCCACCGACCCTGCACCTGCTGAAAGAACAGTCCCCAGGCTGGCAGAGCTGGGAAGCACTAGGAGCCTCCTTCCTTCTTACCCTGAGCAGGAATGCCCTTCCTGCACCATCTTCCAAGACAGGAAGCTCACTGTCTCATGGGGTCGGGCCACCGTCACAGATCAGAACCAACCTCCTTTCCATACACACTCCAGGAAGTCACATGACCCAACCTGCTGGCTGGGTCTTGCACTTGGAGCCAAGAGACCTGGGTCCCTAGATTCTAGCTCTTCTTCCAAAATGCTGTGTGACGTCGGGTAGATACTTTAGCCTCTCTGGGCCTGAGGATTGACTAGATGATCCTTATGGTGCTGAAAATGCAGTGACATATCTCACCATCACTCAGAGACTTAGAGCTCTTCTCTCTGGAGAAATGGGCTCTAGGAGCCAGTTCCCCAACCCCATCCCTGCTGCTGTCCATGGAGGTTTCCATCCCCAGGTAGTAGGCACGTACCTGGACGTTCTCCAGGGAGAAGAGGTCCTGAGACTTGGGCCCATCCACCCAGAGGGGTGCCTAACCAGCACCTTCTTCCTGAACACTTTGGGGTTGGCCTGCACCCCATCTGCCATGTTCTGCGTTCTGGGGGTCCAGCAACATAGGGCTTGTAAGGTCCACGATCACTCTGAAGGCTCCAGGGAACAGGCCCCAGCTTCGCACGGTCGCTCGCACTGGCAGGGTAGTCCAGGGGCAGTGCCCCTGGGCTGGAGGCAGGTGACACTGCCCTAGAAAAAGGACACTCCACCTCCTCCCTCCCACAGCCACTGCCCTGCCCACAGCTGCCTGGTATGGTCCCCACCCCAGGGCGCTCGGCCTGCAGGTAGGGGTTGGCACACCTGCCCAGGAGCTGGCCCCTCCCTGCACATCTGGAAGGAAGTTCACCCAGAGGTCTCCCTGTTCCCACCTGAAACGGATGTGAAACAAAAAATCATTCAGTTCCATTTGTTAAAGCACAGTGCGGCGGGCTTGACACGGGGCACTGGAGAGAGATGGGGCCACTACAGTGGGGTTTTGCGGTGGAGGACAGAGACTGGAGGAAGTCCCCAGCTGGCATCTGCAAGGGCAAGCCCATCTGCTCCTCCGGGAGCAGTCTTCTCTGTCACAGCGCCACTGTGGCACGTGAGCCCAACACCTCTCTGTGGTGGGGGCTGTCCTGGGCATCCAGAGTGCTGAGCAGCATCCCTGACCTCCAGCACGAGACCTAGGAGGAGCCCCCGCCCCACGCTCCTCTCCCCGAACCTTGCCAAGTTGTAACAACCAAAAATGTCTCCAAACATTTCTAGAGGTACCCTTGGGGGCACAGCCGTCTCTGGTTGAAAGTCCGGTGGCCTGCGAGTTGCTGCCATTTGCCTCTTGTGGGGGTGACATGTGTGTGGGGGGAGAGGGACAGGAGAGAAGCAGAGCGGGGCTGGAGCCCTGGAGCCCCCAGAGGTTTGGACAGTTGCACTGACAGGGGCTCCAACTCCAGCACCCCCTCTTCTTGGTTCTGAGAGCCCAGCAGGAGATTTCCCTTCCCTGGCCTCCAGTCCCCAGCTGTAGAATGTAACCGGGCCTCACCGAGCAAGGATCATGCTAACAGGTGACAGGTGTCGACTCATCCGGGACGTGGGGCAAGTGCCCAGTTAAAGATCTGACGGCTACCAAGCAGAAGCCTGTTCTCCAGCCTTGAGGTGAATTGAGATGGTGGTGGGAAGGGGAGCAAGGACGAGGGAGAGAAGAGTCCTCTTGGAAATTAGTCCATACAAACCCCCCCTCCGATTTCACATCAGCCCTTGTCTCCCAATGTCCCCAAACTTGCTGACAAGGGACAAAGGTAATCCCCTGGGGCTTCCCTTCCTACCCTTGGCTTTTCCAACTTCCTCTTCTGGCTCTACCAAACCAGGCGGCCATCGTTCCCCTTCTCCCAGCCTCCATCTCTCCTGGCCCAACTTCCTCTCTGTGGATCCCGGGCCTCCTCTTTCCCAGGAAGTTACTCTACCAAAACTCCGCTGCATCCACTCCCGTGTCCCTGCACGGAAGGTGCTAACTTGCACTTGCTTTCTCACATTCCCACTGGCTGTGCTGTTCTCCAGAGATAGTGAGTCCCTGGGGGATGGGGAGGGGGAATGGGATGGGTTCTTCCCTCCCCACACCTCCCCTGAAGCACAGGGTACTCAAAACCAGAAGTCAACAATAAACTGGCCAACCCAGTAATTCCACTCCTAAGCCTGTAAACGAAGATGCACACCTGAGTTGTTCCCAGCAACAAAGCAAAGGGTACGGATGTGGCATTCTTTGTGATGCTCCTTCCCCAAATCAGAAGCAACATAAGTTAGGGGATAAGTTAAGCACATTAGTAAACATCCACCCATAATGGTGTCTTCAAAGATCTGATGATACAAAAAAAAAAAAAAAAAACCTGGATATTAAGGGTAATAGCAGTTTTATTTAAAAAGGGGGCCTGGGGGAAATAAGGAAGTTGGTGTGCACATGTATAAAAATTATCTGGAAGAATATACAGCAAAACATGAGTAATGGTTATTTTTAGACAGTAGGGTAACTGGTGGTTTTGTTTTCTTATTTGTGTTTTTTTATTAAAATGAATGTAAGACAATATATTCGATAACAAAGATGGAATGGCCAATTTCCTTGCAAGACACAAGCTCACACATCTGGAAATAGCCCTATATCTATTAAAGAAATTGAATATGTAAATTAAAACATGTCCATGTTTAAACTCCAGGTTCAGATGACTTCACTGGTAAATTTGACCAAATGCATAATAAAGAAATAATACCAGTTGTATGAGACTGCTAGAGCTACCATAGCAAACTAGCATGGACTGAGTGGCTTAAATAACAGAAATTTATTTTCTCATAGTTCTTGTCTGAAAGTCCAAGATTAAGGCCCTGGCAAGGTTGGTTTCTTTCTGAGGGCCCCTCTCTGACTTACAGATGGCCATCTGCTTTCTGTATCCTCACATGGTCTTTCCTCTGTACAGGTACATCCCTCTTGTCTCTTTGTGTGCCCAAATTTCCTCTTCTTATAAAGATACCAGTCTAGGGGTGCCTGGGTGGCTCAGTCAGTTAAGTGTCTGACTCTTGATTTCGGCTCAGGTCATGATCTCAGGGCTGTGAGATCCAGCCCTGAGTTGGGCTCCGTGCTCAGCAGGGAGTCTGCTTGAGATTCTCTCCCTCACCCTCTGCCCCTCACCCATTGTCTCTCTCTCTCTCAAATAAATAAATAAATCTTTTAAAAAATAAAGATACCAGTCCAATTGGATTAGGGACCACCTAATGACTTTATTTCAACTTAATCACCCCTTTAAAACCATATATCCAAATACAGTCACATTCTCAGATATTGGGGGTTAGCATCAACATATGAATGGGGGGAGGCAAAATTCAGCTCATAACACCAATTATAAACAAATTCTCCCAGGAAATTTAAGTGGAGGAAATGCTTCTGCTTAACTCCTTCTGGTAACCACAATTATTCTGATACCAAAACCAGATAAAGACATTACAAGAAGAGAAAACCACAGATTAATATCCCTCATGAACATAGATGCAAAAATTCTTTGGGGCTTGGAACCCAACGTGGGGCTTGAACTCATGACCCTGAGATCAAGACCTGAGCTGAGATCAAGAGTTGGACTTTTAACCAACTGGGCCACCCAGGGGCCCCTAGATGCAAAAATTTGTAACAAAATATTAGCAAAGAGTTTAACAATATAAAAAAGGAAAATAGACCATGAGCAAATGGGGTTTATCCCAGAAATGAAAGGTTGGTTTTACATTAAAAATCAATCAATGTAATTAACCATAATAACAGACTAAGGAAGAAAAACTATATGATTTTTTTAATAAATACAAAGAAACAGCCCATTTGACAAAATCTGACCTTCCTGATTTAAAAAAAAAAAATGTCAGCAAACTGAAATAGAAGGGAACTTCATTAGCTTGAAAGAGAGCATTACAGGGTGCCTGGGTGGCTCAGTTGGTTAAGCGACTGCCTTCGGCTCAGGTCATGATCCTGGAGTCCCGGGATCGAGTCCCACATCAAGCTCCCTGCTCAGCAGGGAGTCTGCTTCTCCCTCTGACCCTCCTCCCTCTCATGCTCTCTGTCTCTCTCTCATTGTCTCTCTCACAAATAAATAAAATCTTAAAAAAAAAAAAAAGAAAAAGAAAGAGAGCATTACAAAAACCCCTTGCAGCTAACATCATACTTAATGGTGAACGACTGATTGCTCTCCCCCCTAAGATTAGGAACAAAGTGAGGATATCTACTTTCACCACTTCTACTCAACATTGTACTGGCAAGAAAAGAAATAAAACGCATTCAGATTGGAAAGGAAGAAGTAAGATTGTCTCTATTGGCATAAACATGGTAGTCCATGTAAAAAATACTGTAGAATCTTTAAAAAGCTACTAGAACTAATAAGTGAGTTTAGAATGTTACATAATACAAGATGAAAATATAAGGAAATTAATTTTACTTCTATATACTAGCAATGAACAACTGGAAATTGAAATTGAAAAACACATAATAATATCCAAAAATATGAAGTATTTACAGATAAATTTGACAAAATACATGGAAGACATGTACACTGAAAACTATAAAACAATGCTCAGGAAAATCAAGGAAGACCAAAATAAATGCAGGGATATACCATGTTCATGAATCAGAAGACTGCATATTGTTAAGATGTCAGTTCTCCCCATTTGCTCTATAGGGCCAATGCATTCCCAATTAAAATCCTATAGACTTTTCTTATAGAAATGGCCAGGCTGATCCTAAAATTCATATGGAAACTTAAAAAACCCTTAGAATATTAAATCAACTTTGAAATGAAGAACAAAGTTGTTGGACTTACATCATTTGATTTTAAGGCTTATAACCTTACTATAATCAAGACAGTGTGCACTGGTATAAAGATAGACAAAGAGACAAATGGAACAAAATAGATGATGCAGAATTAAAGCTACACATTTATGGAAAATTTATTTTTTTTTAATTTTATTTATTTGAGAGAGAAAGAGTGTGAGCAGTAGGGAAGAGGGAGAGAGAATCCCAAACAGACTCCACTGAGTATGGAGCCTGACACAGGGCTTAATCCCAGGACCCTGAGATCATGACCTGAGCTGAAATCAAAAGCTGGCCACTTAACCGACTGAACCACCCAGGCACCCCTGGAAAATTTATTTTTGACAAAGATGCAAAGGCAGTTTCATGGAGGAAGAATTGATTTTCAATAATGGTGCTAGAATAATTGACTATCAATAAGAGAGAGAGTGAAAGAGAGAGGGAGGAAGGAAGGAAGGAAGGAAAGAAGGAAAGAAGGAGGAAGGAGGGAAAGAAAGAAAAAGAGGGAGAATAGGAGGAAGGGAGGGAGGGAGAAAGAGAGAGGAAAGAAAAAAAGAATTTCCATTCATACCTCTCATTATACACAAAAATTTATCAGAATGGATCATAGTTCAATGAGGGTGCCAAGACAATTCAATAGGGAAAGTCTTCCACAGATGGTGTTGAAATAACTGGATATCCACATGCAAAAGAATGGAGTTGGATCCCTTCCTCACACCACACA